AAGATGCGTCCGTCGATGGCGCTTTTCTCACCGGCCTTGTACTTTTCACATTCTGCCTCAATGATCTTTTTTAAGGTTACAGATGGGCTCGCACGCTCTACAACTGGTACTTTCAATGAAGAAGAAGCCATTGATTGAAAGTTTTCTCAGAGGACGAAGTTGGGAAAGGGAGTAGAGGGAAGTGGAAGGTTAGTAGAGATAAAGGGTTTGTGTGTTACACGAGTGAGTGATTTCAAAACACGAAATAAAAGGGTTTTAAAAACCTTTGTGTCTGAAAAATGTATCGCGTAATTCGTTAAGTACAAAAAGTACAGATACAAAGAGTTTCCTTCAATATTGATACTTTTTTAGGGAAAAACACATCCCAGATGTTGATGCCAGCTTCGAAGTAAAATGTTTGGTTTCGAAACCAGATTTTGGTGCCAAATGTCAAATAACAACGGCTTCGAAACTGAGAAGCCGACTTCGAAGCACATTCCATACCTAAGGATGTAAGAATACTCAAGTATTTGTTTACTTCAAAGGGATTAAAGACCTGTTTTAGGTTTCTTAATGAGAGTAGGGTCCTTCGAAGCTAAACTTGAGATCCCTTAAGGATGAGAATTGGTGTTCGAAACATCAAAACCAATAGTTGGTTTATATATATACAGAAAAGATTGCTTTTTCAGACTAAAACAGTGCAGCCCTCAAAAGGGGTTTCCATATTTTTAAAAGTATGGACTGTTGTTCGAAGCAAAAATGGTCAATTTAAAACTGATTAATCATACTAACCATGACCATATTTTGGTTATGATTAAAACAAGCTTTAAGGGGCAAGACTGTTGAATTCGAAGCACTGATTTTTAATGAAATCAGCAAAATGCCAACTATATTCCATAAATTGAAAAAGTTCATGTTGGTATTTTAGTGTTTCATTTAAACCAATTGAGTCCAGATTCGAAGGATAAGATTGTTCAGTTTGAAGCCCTAAATTTGCTTTTAAAGACAAACGGAGACAAGATCAAACGAACAAAGGGAAAAATCTTAGTTGTATTAAAGCAAAAGCAATTACACCGAATGACTCTCTTTGGGTACAAATTCAAGTTCATAAAAATAAGAATAGAATAAATAACAAGATCATGAAATTTGGTCTAACTATGATCAATGAATTTCTATTCTTTCTTTATTCTATCTTATATTTCTTCTAAGATTGGCTGCTGAAGTTGATGTGCTCTCACTTCATAGAAGAGCTCTTCAGCCTTTATTTCGAACGCTGTTTCTCTCAATCCTTGTTCCAACTCATCCATATCTAAGTCATCCTAGTACGCAGAATCTTTATTTTTAAAGTTATCGAATTCTTCAATGAGGTTCTCTGCTTCGTACTGGGCATGAATTCGAAGGGATGAAAGTTGGTCCAAAGATTGAATGGTGGCCATAGAAGTTCGATGCCAGTGAAGAAGCAATGGGAGTTGGTCCAAAAACATGTGAAGCTCTGCTTGGGTGAGGGGGTTGAGGACGTGACCCCGAGTCAGAAGTTGGGCTTGCTTCCGCTCAGCTGGAGTAGGGGAAGGTGGAGGCTTGTAAGGAGGAAAGACTTTATCCGCAGAGAAGGCAAGCCGTAGTCTCTCTGTCCAGCAATGATTTGGTGGAGGAGGAGGTATGGAAGATTCCACTTCAGGAGAAGGAGCAAGGGCAGAAGGAACAAGGGCATTAATATAATTAAGCCAGTCAGAAGAGTAAAGTTTTGCCTTCTGGGCTAAGAACGATGGATTGTACCCTTATGCCTCTTTTGGGCGTCGGGTAACGTGCACTATCTTTGTAGGTATGGAGGATGTGTACCATGCTACAAGCAGATTGTCCTCCAAACTGCGTCGTTAGTCGATGGGCACATAAGGGTAAACCATCGAGCTTCACGTATAGGAAGGGAACTGTAAAGGGTCAGTGAACTCGACAAAGTGATGGTTAATTCGCTCGAGTCGGGGTTTGGTAGCTCGAGCGAGAGTTTGCGTCTGGTTTGGACCTGTAGCTTTGCATTCTTGGCTCGAGCGAGCTTTTCTTCGCTCGAGCGAGTTAGTTCGTTCTTCGCTCGAGCGATAGTTCCTTCGCTCGAGCGTGTGTCTGGTTACAGACCTGAGGGTTTGAGTTCTTCGCTCGATCGAGTTTTCTTTCGCTCGAGCGAGCTTTTGGGTTGTTGGCTCGAGCAAGGCTTCCTTGGCTCGAGCGTAGCTTCTCTGTGTCTGGTCGCTCGAGCGACCAAGTCTTCGCTTGAGCGAGCCTGTCCAGTTTATATACGCAGCAGCGGGTTTTGATCAGTCTTTTTCACCTTCTTTTTGATTCCAAACCCTAGGTCCGACTTCTCTCTCTCCCTACTCACCTTCTTTCTTAGGTTTGATCTATTTAGAGTGTGTTTCTACCCTAGTTGCTTTATTAAAAAGATAGAGGGAGTCGAGGGCTTTCATTTAATCTGAACATTTGGCGGTTTGGAGCACGTTGGTATTTGGTATTCATCTTTGTCCTCTCCATTTTGGGTTGTTTTCTTCGAGGTAGGGATTTCCTACTCCATCCTATAAGTTTTGTTCTAAGTTTTGGTATTTTGATAAGTTGGGGTTACTTCGATAATTTTGGGAAAAACCCTAGTTGTTGGGCTATCGGTGGAGGATAGTTGTGATTGTTGTAGACATTGCATGTGGATTAGGAATAACTGAAATTGATCACATTGGTTAAGTCATTAATTTTGACTATTGCATTAATACAGAAAATACTTGTATTGATTGAGCATTGCATTTGCATACATTGTTTTGTGTGTGGGAGGAGGTAGGGGATGTACTCCACGGTTTAGGGGAAGATAGGGGATGGACCTCTAAACCGGATTTTTGTTTGGGAGGAGATAGGGGATGGACTCCATTAGCATCACTTTTATGTGTGCTTATTATATTGAAGTGTTTTTATTGATACAGCACTAAAATGTGTATCAATCTGGAAGTATGAAGTGTTTGATTTGAGCTTGAGTCTCATTTGTTTGTTGATATTGGAAGGATGTGAATATGGTATATGTAATTCACTGTTGTAAGTTTGGCCAGGTTCTGAGCCATGTTGATAAAATTGGAAAGTAAATTGTATTTTAGACAATAGTGTCATGAGACTGTAAAATGAAGTGGTTGATTATCTTGGTTAACCATCTGTCAAATACTATTGCTTTATTCATTTTCTTATATGTGGTTTAGTATATTTCTGCTGGGCTGTGGCTCACCCTTTATGGGAACATCATTTTCAGGTTCAGGTGATAAGCTACCTCCAAGGACTTAGCTTTGAAGGACTTGGATTCTGAAGACTTTTTTTTTTAGTTGTTTGTTTTTGGTTGTTAGTACATGTAAACATTCAAGCCTAGGGCTTTTCTTGTATTGAGATTAGAACTCATATTTTTGAATCCAAGTGTTGGCTTGGAAAGATGTAAGCCTGTAGGGCATTTTATTCGATGTTACATGTAATGCTTTATTTAGTAATACTCTGATGAATGAATTAATAAATTGTCTTCTTTAAATAATGCATGTCAATGATATATAATGGGTTAATTTTGAGGGTGTTACAGCTTCTATGACTTGAATATAGAAAGGTGAGTAAAGGTGGCTAATTAATGCATGGAGGCTCTTTCGAGGAGGAACAACATCATTAGATGACTCTTCGTGTGCTCGATCAATGGAGGAGAAAATTGATTCGGCCATAACAAATGTATCAGTCTGTTCGAATACTAAGATGGTGAGGGTGTTCAAAAGATTGGAGGAGAGTTTAGTGGTCAGATGATGAATGATAGTTGCATTTCTAGAAGAATGCAAAGCCCATGCATGTTCTAAGACGTGGATAAAAGACCTTGATCCACTAATATCACCAAGTATTGGGTATATTAGTGCGGGGGGTAATGTTGGCTACATATTTTGTATAAGCCAGTTACAATTCGACGCGTGGCAGAATAAGGGTAATACAGGAAGACTATTCAAGTTTTTAATCATAATCGTACACGTGGCAGTTAGTATTGGTTATTATAAGATCTGAGTAGCATTGGATCAGCAAAGAGATGCAAAGTGATGTGGCTTCAACGGTTACTTACATTCAAATTCAAAATTATGAGGGAAGCCTAACTGCAAGGGATGGCATAACGGAGCTAATTATAAGGCATCCTGATCAAACGATCATGGAGGAGCAGTTCGACGGTTGGAAATGCAGTTCGATGGTCATCCTTGAGAAGTATAAATAGCAGAGAAGGCCCCAGAAAAAAGTCCCACGCTCAGATCCAAAAAATCAGTCTTATTCTACTTATTTTCTTTTCTAGTTTTATATTTCCTTTCCAGTTTTACATTTTTAGTCTTACTTTTCCTGTTCTTGACATTCCTGTACTTTAAATTCCTTCACTGCACTTCGGTCATAAGAGTAGTTTCAAGTAGATTGTTGTTGTAAACCTCTACGAGGCTGAGTTTGGATCATTGTAAGTTTTTCATTTTAATGAAATGCTTCAATTATTCTTCATTTAATTGTTAATTTGCTTAATTCTCCTAAATCAAGCCACCAGTAAAAGTCCTCTTCATTGAGGCTGAAAGAACTAAAACACAATCATCTGATAATTGGTTGGCAATTAATTTTCTGTAAGGACTGATTGATCCTTGCTGGCACGTTTGCAATTACAATAATAACCTTCGAAAGTCAAAAAGCCAACATAATTTAAAAAATTATTCCCTTTTAAAAATAAATAAATAAATATGTACTGGTACAATCTATAAAAAAGTATGTTTATTGCACCACTGCAGCAGCGACATGTCATTTAATTTGCAACTTTTGATAGAAAAAAATTGATCACAACAGTATTGACTCAACCCTAAACTATATGCCAAAAAGACAGTTCAATGACTACTACTACTCACCATAATTCAAAATCTTCTCATAATGAGCTGTCATTGTTGTGTGTCTTAGTCACTTTACAAAATTGTCAATCAATAATGAGAGAACTTCATACAATTTGAGTATTATAGGGTTGGTTAAGATCTTGAAGAAGTATGACAAGAGAACTGGTGGGTTGTTGCGTTCGCCTTATATTCAGAAAGTGTTACAGCAACCTTTCCTTAGAACTGATGTCATCTCAAAGCTTGTCAAAGAATGTGAAAGCACCGTAAACACGATGTTTCCAGTTGTCAGAGAAAAAGAAATGCGAGAAGGAAAAGAAGAAATTGAAGTTTCAAGTGAAGGAATTTTTAAGACTACAATTATAGCACTACTGACCATGTAAGAAATTAGAAAAACGAGCTCTACGTGCCGTCACTTCTCTCTACCACCTCTCAATTTGTCAGACTTCGATCTCATTAAGTTCTTTCAATTATACTCATACATAATCTTAAGTAAACCAAAAAAGTAAAACTATAACAATACACACACATATATCAATCAGTAAAATTTTTTTTATCAATGAATCCAAAAGTACAAAATAGGACACTAATACAAATATCAATAAAGAAAGAAGGTGTAGAATGGATTCCAACTATGTTGGCATGACCACGCAAGCACTATCATACGCAAGCACCAATCAAGAACAGAAAGGTTGGCAAGGAACCAACCAAACCTAAAGGAGAAGAACAGCAGAGAAAGAAACAGCAACACATAAACAAAATAGAGAACGAGCTGCAAAAAACAAAAACATGGCATGTACACTTGGAGCTTATTTGTAGAATATTTATCATATTATATTTTCATATTTTAATAATATTGTATTTTTATATTTACATATTTCCTTAGATTACTTGGTGAACACTCCCTTATAGGCCTATACATAGGTCACTTCTTGTAACAACAGTTAGTATTAATCGTTATACAATATTTCTCTCTTTACCCATAATTGTAAACAATTGTGTGTGTGTGTTTTTTTTAAGGGAGAAATGCTAGAACTATATGATATAGTAGAAATTTGTTGTTAAGAATTTTCGGCATTAGTTTGAGCAAATCTCTTTACATTTCGGGCTGAGTTTGATATACCTTCACTCAATTCAAGTTACCACCTTATTTTTTAGTATTAGCTTTTTTGTTGAAAGTTGATTATTCGTTTGGAAGCTCTTATAACTTGGATTATAAGCCTATTTTTCTATTTAAAAAAAAAAAAGTTGTTTAGGATTAATGATTTTTCACAAATAAATCACCTTTAGCTACTTAAAAAAGTCTTTAGAGAAGTGTAAGAAAACTAAAAATATGTCAAATGAACTATTTTTTTGTTAACATTAAATTTTTTATTGGCTTATTTTTACCTAATTTTTTTTGAACTAAGGTGTCATTTGACATGTAAATATTTTAATCAAAAAGTCATTAAAAAGTCAAAAAGTTAAAAAAAAAATATTTCATGCAAAAAAAAAGTCAAAATTTTTCTTTCTTTCTATTTACTTTTTGCACAATTTTTCATTAAAAAAAATCAAAAAATTATTCTTAAACATTTCAATTTTTTCACCTCATATTTTGTTTAAAAAAATAACTAAAAAACACCACTTCATACATGGACCTAACTCTTGAAGAAAACTTAAAATTGACTCAAATAAGTCAATACATATAAATTGATGACAGCATGCTTGTAAGCTGCTAAGAATATTTCCATGGCATATTCATCCTTACCAAACCAGTCGTATTCAAAGCATTGGTTTTGACAACTTCTCCTAGAATTTCCAAAGACTAACTATTCAAAAAATTATTCTTAAACATTTCAATTTTTTCACCTCATATTTTGTTTAAAAAAATAACTAAAAAACACCACTTCATACATGGACCTAACTCTTGAAGAAAACTTAAAATTGACTCAAATAAGTCAATACATATAAATTGATGACAGCATGCTTGTAAGCTGCTAAGAATATTTTCATGGCATATTCAGCCTTACCAAACCAGCCGTATTCAAAGCATTGGTTTTGACGACGACTCCTAGAATTTCCAAAGACTTCTTCCCACTTTATATATCTATGTTGGCTTGTTTTGGAAAGTAAGTTAAAAGTTAAATTTTTAATTTTTTTTTGAAAAAATATATAAAAAGAATATTTAAAAAAAATAAAGAGGAGATGTGATTCAAAAAAATTTAAAAAGTCAAAAAATTGTTTTTAATCATGTTCACAAAACAAACCGTAAGCTCTTTCTTTCTTTCTCTTTTTTTTTTTTTTTTTTTTTTTTTTTTTTTTTTTTTCTCTCTCTTTTTTTAACTCAATCAAACATTATCTTAATATTAGACAATTAAAGTTCAACAATAGTTAAAAAGTAAAAGAGCCACCACCGAGTACAAATTAGGAAAAAAATTAAAAAATATACACAAAAAGGGTCGACAAAAATCAATTGGGCTAGGCATTGGGCCAAGTCTAACCATCACAAGCCCAGCCCTAAACAAATTTTTAAATCACCAGTTCACCACCCATTGGCCCTGTTTGGTACAATTTTTTTTTAGCTTATTTCAGTTTTCAGTTTAATTTAAGCTATTTTGATGTGTTTGGTTTAACTTAACAATGCAACTTATAGCTTTTTGTAAATCAGAAATCAGCTTATTCTTTGAGTGGGGCAGGAGAAGCTTAATTTATAAGTCAGAAATCAGCTTATGTTCATAATTATAAACTATAAGCTGTTAAGGCATAAGCTATAAGCACTTTCCCACAGCTCTACCAAGCATGGCCATTGAACCCAATAGATAATATATCTTGAAAGACAATTAAATTATTTAGACAATTTTAACAATTATTTAATTTTAAAATGATAACAAAATTCAATTATAAAATAAATATAAATTTTCAAGAAATGTTTTCTTGTCTTTATTATTTTCTTAGTTTTTTTGTAATTAAATAATAAAAAATTTAAAATAAAATTTTTATAAATGGTCAGGCTGAATTGGTTGGATTAAAACTTTTTATCTCAAACTCAACTAAAAAATTAAATGTGATCAAAATTTCACCATTACCAGTCTTATGAATTAAATATTTTTTTTCTAAGAGGATATTTGAGGTGCACTGCAAAAGTGTATTTATTTATCTTTTTATTTTATTTTTTGAGTTACATTAACTCTTTTACTTTTCTGCATATTTTTTTTTGAAAGTCAAAAAATATACTTATTTAAATCATTCCAAACAACACATAAATCTTTTTATAAAAAAAAAAAAATGAGTATGGCTAGCAACAGAAAATGTTTGGGACCCCACAAAAGAGGCTCCCCCCATAACCCCTCACTGATGTATTGGCCATTGATGTATTTGAATTTTTTTTTAAAAGTTGAATTTGACAGTAACATGAATGCTTCAGATCATTTTGGGATTGTGAGAGTTGTGTTTTGTGGGGGTCTCTATTATTACTGTAACGCCCCAAATTTCTAACCCAAATGATAATACAACAATCATAGCTCTTTCAAAGAAAACCAAATATAAATCTCCAAACTTACATTGTATGATATAATAGTTCTTCATGCAACAATACATTAATCCAACAATAAGTAAATAAACAAATAAATACCCCCAAGGGTTTACAAGTTTCCAAAGCTTGAGCTTGGTTACACAAAATAGTTATTCAAACCCACACACAGAGTCATAGCAAAATGAGAGTCTCGTACTCTCAATACACATTTTCTTGCATTTAGTTAGGTGACATCACCACATGTTTTCCTGCACAAATATCCCGTAGGGTCAACATAAAACCCAATAGAAAATCCTTAACAAAGTATATACATTTGATACAAGTCTCAAGAGATGAAATGCACATGTCATGCTATGCCCTTTTGAAAGAAAATCACATGTTCATCTTTGAAAACCATCATGCTCAATGTTGTCATGCAATTTCAATTCTTCAAAACTTAACAATTAATTTCAAGAGCAGTAAATACGACTCTGGTAATCCCTAGGTCGGTGTCTGCAAGTAGACTATACAAGTACTACTAATTTGTCATTTTTACCGGTATTAACTGGAAGGCTCGACACCTATCCGCGCGGGTTTTCGATCTTTCACCCCGGATTCTCAGGCCAACTTATTCAATATCATCTACACCACCTATCGAGACTTACCAACGTATTTATCCCAAAACCATTCCATGAAAACTTGTTTCTTAACATTCTTTTTTCAATGTAAGTTTTCAAATCAACTTTCAAAATTTAATGTAATCAATGAATTGATATGCCAATAACACAAGATGAATATAAATACTTTTATTATAATTCATCATCCAAGGAATAACACAATTCTCTCTTCTCAAGTATCTTCAACAATTAGTCATTTCAAGACTATTTCAACGTTTTAAACAATAATTTTCAAAATGAACAATAATTCTCATATTTCCTGAAATTCATTATTTATATAAATATAAATAAAAAATTTTCCAAACATCCATTTATTTTGACACACAAAATAAATATAAAAATATCATTCATGAATTTTCAGTCTCTTAATTTTTTTTTTCCAAATTCTAGGTTTTCTCACCAAAACTATACAGTTCAAATCTTTTGAAAGAAAACTTTCCAAAATCATATTTTCTTCAATCAACGAAGATCAAAACCCATAAGATCATTTTAGAAGAACAAGAGACAAACCCACTTTAAAAATTGCTCAACTTCTTGAATTAACAATCAATTTTCAAAGCTATTGAAAGATAATTTTGAAAATCATATAGATCTTGCAATTATATATATATATATATATAACTCTAAGAAAATTCCTACCTCAAGTTTTGAAGAAAAAATGAGATGAAACCTCAAAATTTATGATGTCGAAATTCGATCTCCATCGCACACAACGAAACCCTTGAGAAGTTACACAACTTTGATGAAGAATTTCGGTCTAACTCCCAACGGATCTTGAGAAATCAAGATTTTGATCCAATTTGGCGTAGGGAAATGTAGAGAGAATGAGAGGAAATGTTTTTAGAAAGAGAGATATATACAAAAGTGATATGAAATATCAGATTCATGAACTGATATAACATGGTCTGCTCGAACGTGAAAAGCCCCGCTCGAGCATCGAAACACCTTCCTAGTACTTTTGCAGACGGGTTAAACTTCTGGAACCAAACATTTTCCGCTAGAGTGCAAAAACGGTCGCTCGAGTGGACAAGTAACTTCGAATGCATTTTGCATTTTTAGTTTGGGGGCGCTGCCCCTCGACCTCGTCGGGGCACTGCCCTCGAATCCGCCAAGGGACGCTACCCCCTGGACCCCCGCGAGCTGACTGGGCAGCTTGATCCCCGACTTGCCCAGTCGAAGTGGCAAAACATGAAAGAAGGATCGAAACCGGGATCGC